GACAAGACTTGACCCTTGATCTCAAAGAGGGAGGACACCACCTGATACCGCTGGGCTACAAGCCCTTTGGTATATAGTGTGTTCTAACTATCTATTGTGTGCATGTAGAATTGATTCTAAACCAATCATTTTAGTTATTTTTTGAAAATAATTAATGCAGATTACATGTTGAAGATATATAATGAGTATTAATTAAATCTTCAGCAGGTAATATAAATTAATTACTTTCTTAAAATAACTAAAATAACTAGTCCAAAATCAATCTTACATGCACACAATAGATAATAGAAATATTTGAACCTAACTCTCTCTTTCTCTCTCTCTCTCTCTCTCTCTCTATATATATATATATATATATTATATATATATATATATATATATATATAACATTCATTATGTATGAAATTCTGCGGGTTGATGAGAATAAAGGAGATGACTACCATGAAACTTGAGAACATCACCAACAAACTAGGATTAGGCAATGTACTCGGTTTTTAACAATCATAGCCACTAGTTGCATGTTTCTTGAAATAGCAAAATAGTCATAAAATGAATTTAATAGCAGCAACAACAACAAATAGTAAATAATAATAATAATAATAATAATAATAATAATAATAATAATAATTTTCAATTTTACAACTCTATAAATCATCGGGATCTATGTATTAATACGTATTTAAAATTTATAAAATAAGATGAGTAACGGGGTCCGATGGTGTGCATGGGTGTTCGTATGTTTATATTATCTATAATTTATTCGCTATATAGTAATTAATGTCCAATAAATGTGTGAAAAAAATAAAAATGGAAAAAAAAGACATCTAGCTCTCGAAAACATGAAAACTAGACTTGAAACAACGGTTCTGATGATGTTCACGGATGTACATTTGTGTACACTTGATGAAACACAATTTTTTTTTTATTTTGTGAAAATAGTGGTATATGTTAACTGATTTTTTAACTTATAGCTTAACTTGGTCAAAGAACATTTTGTCGGTATATTTCCGATGGAAAATTCCGTGGGTAATCTGTTACATAAACTGTTTGAAATCCGTTACAATTAATTACCCACGAGGCTTTTTATGACATGCCTAATTCAGTTGGAAATTAGCTTTACCGACAGATTTACGACGAATATGACTGTCAGAAATTACCCATTTTTCTAGTAGTGTTATACATATCAAAATGTACAAGTGTGTTGCTATTATGGTTATAAAATAAAGTCTAATGCCATAATATGAAAAGGAGTGTTAACACATTGATATTTTGGGTAGAATGGTATAAGTTGGTTACTATTATGGGTAAAAGATATAGTAGATTATTGCATATATTTATAGCGAGACTAAAGTACATTGATGCACCCTACAATTTACCCATAGCATTTTATCAAATAATTTTATGTAAGTCAGAAATATGTGTGAGTTGGAACTATGTGCAAGTCTATTAGTATATATTGGAGTTTGTTGTTTTTCTTTGATTAAACAAATAAGGATCTTTAACATCTATTATTTTCCAGGAGATTTTGTTTTTAATAGTTAAAAACATATAATAATTATGCATTGGGATCTCTTACCTCTAATACAGGTAAACATATATGTAAATTAACCAGGTCCTTTCGATGGGACGATGATTATATATATATATATATATATATATATATATATATATATATATATATATATATATATATATATCGTTCCATCGAAAGAACCTGGTTAACTTACTTCTGCTGCTCTACCCCGTATGTTCTGTTGAGATTCAAAATAAAATAGAGATTTGAGATTTAACCTCAACTATATATTTCACATCTGCCGCTCTAACCTTCCGGTGTACTGGCGCGACGAGTCTTTTGTAATCATAAATGATTATATAGCGTCGCCCGTTCCTTTCTCCTCCACCACCATCCCCACCATCACAACTGCCACTGTCACCACCACTACCACCACCTCTGCTACCAGTCGTTCCCACCACTGTCACCTCCGCCACTTATACCACCGCCACTTCTATCACCACCACCTCTTCTGCCACAAACTATTATAATCATATACGATTACTCAATCTGTGATCATACATATATGCATAATCATTTATGATTAGACATATACGTATAAACATGTATAGTCACATATTATTATACCTTTTTGCTATATAATCATTTATGATTAATCATACCCCTCTACTGTTGGTATGTTGGAGCGTTAGAAAGGCAAATGAGAAATATGTAGCTGAGGTTGAATTTCAAGATCTCTATTTTTTTTTGAATCTCAAGGTAACCATCCCAAAAAGCTTAAGAACGCGAGAAAACTTCTGAACCAATCATATTATATGGGTATATTAGTCATTGTGTATTTAGTTTAAATTAAAACAAATTAAATTCAAATCTTAATTTTCTAAAATTTAACGTTAATGATTATCTACCTAAACTAAAATATGAACTGATTTTTTTTTATTTCTTTTATTAATGGATGATAAAGATAATTTATATTATTTTTTTTGTCAAATAATTTTTTTTCTAATTTATTATTCATCAAAATATTTTCAATCGAATAAAACATTTGTAATTATAAAAATATATATTTGTAATCCTAAATAATAAATCATAATTTAGAGATAACATTTATACATGAATAAAAATAAATTACTAATCATACATGAATATGCTAACAAATAAAAAAAATCAACACATTAAAAATTATATTCATAAAATAAAATTTTCAAAGATTGAGTTTATACAATTATATATTTATATTCATAAATGATTATTACAACGTCTTTTAATCATATGTACAACTATGTTTATAATCATAAGTGATTATAACGAACACAATTAACGATGACATGTCCGCCATCATCAAAATTGAGAAAAATAGAATGTGATTGAATGATTAAATCATATGGGAATGTAGATAATTAGTGTATTAAAAAGTATCAACAAAGTGGCAGTAACAAGAAAACTCGACCGAGAGGGCTTACCCTCTTATAGTTATGATTATTAAAAACTTCATACCCCAAAACATAAAGTCACCAAAGTAAATATCCACTTGTTTGTCAGAAACATCACAAAAAGGAAGATGTTAATATAACCAATGGCTTGTGTATTAAGTATTAACTATGAAACATAAAGGGTTTGTGACTTGTAACAACTTACTGAGTGTAAAAGAAAAGTATTTCGGGTCCAACAGTTATGAGATTAGCAAGAAGAACTGCTCATGACACCAAATGCAATTAAATCTGTAAACAAGTAGCCAAACATGATGGATTGATTTCAAAGAGGTCTTCCAAGTTTCATCTTCATACAAGATCCCAATTGGAGAATGAACACAAAATTCAAGCTAATTCCCATGGAGTTCCTAATTGTTTTAAGCTGTGATAATTACACCAAATTTGATACAACCATGTTTATAATCATAAGTGATTATAACGAACACAACTGACTATGTTGATTGAATTTATTCACTATTGTAGTGAAGGATATCAGATTGCTAGAATTTGACCTACGATTACAATAGAAGGAAGAATAAAAAATTACAAATTGTTGATTTATAGCTTCAATTTCATACGAAATCTTGTCAAAATTTGCCCTTCTTCTTGTATCGCCAATCACGCACCCCTTCATGATTGCAATTACCAATCGTGATTTTTGCAGTCATTCTTCAAGCCCTGAATCGGGATTGCAAGTCCTGGGGCTTAAGAGAAATCGAGGCGGTATCTTCGCCTTCGATGAATTGGTGATGGTGGAAGTCAAAGGGGCAGAGAGTGTGAAGGCTCACCAGCAACAACAACAATAGGATGACAGGAAGGGAAGAAAGGCTCGCATCGAAGGTGTGTTGTCCGATATTCAGGATATTGTGTCAAATTGCGATCATCTCCGGGGTTCGAAGAGGTTGAAGAGACAGAGGGAAGAGGGGAGGGAAGGACGTCAATTCTTCGGTAACCCTTGTGGCTTAATCGTCGTCATCAGTAGCGCATAAATGGGGGAAGGAGCAAACAACAAAAAATCGACATTTGGGGTGAAATCAGGAAGCATCATCGTTCGATGTGGATGATTCATCTGTCGAGCAAGGGAAAAGGAAAACAGAAGTAGTTGGGATCGGCTGTGTGATTCGGCTGTGATGAAGGTGTCGATTGTATGCTGTATGAAATTAGGTCAACGGAATAGAGAGGCAGGGAGTGATTATAGGAGTTTACAAAATTAGGGTAATGTTTATTTACCTGAATACCCTTTATAACTTTCTTTAATTTAAAATTTAAATTTTAAATGTATTAATAATTAGAAAAATAACAATTAATTATAGCCACACATCTTAAAAATTAGATGGTCCAGATCTGTTCTTGCGTTCTCAACCCTTTAAGTGTTCTCATTTGATCCTACTCCTATATATATATATATATATATATATATATATATATATATATATATATATATATATATATATATATATATATATATATATATATAAATGACCTTAGCAACAATAACTTTTTGGCTTTTAGGTTTTTGCCACAAATTTTTGGTGAATTTAACACTTTTTGTCCTTAAACTAAAAATTTTTACATTTTTATGTTTTGATTAAGGTTTTATGCATTTAGGTTTTTGCCATAAATCTTTAGTGATTTTGACACTTTTAGTCATTGCAGTCAAAAGTTTTATATTTTTGTGTTTTTTCCACAAATACTTAATGAATTTGACACATTTTGTCCTTGTATTCAAAACTTTTACATTTTAACATAAAAAACACAAAAATCCTCCTTTATAATTTTACCACCATATTTTCCCAACTTTAGCAACTTTAACATTATTGTTACAACATTTTTGAATTTTCTCCACGAGCATCCTTTCTTTTGGTTGTACATTTTGACATCTAATTTTGGGGGCTGTTGACCTTCTCCCATATTTGTGGTGATTTACAATTTCAGCACATATCTTTTAAAGTTTGTCGATTTTTCACATATTACCCCAAAAGTGACGTATCCATGAGTTCTTTACTAGTATCAATAATAGCCCACCCGTTTAGGAATTAACAAGCATACTTCATACATAGAAAAGATGCAAACCACAAACCCCTAAATGGATTTGGCATGAACAAAGTTTGAAGATTACTACAACATCTCCACAATCTACATTGGATGCTTATGTAAAAGACACACACTCGAAATATTAAAACAACACTCTTATTATACATAAAAAGTTTGGCGTGCAACAAATGAATAAAATCATATATGTGAGTGACCTATAAATTAAATATTTAAAATTCTTTAATTTGTTTAATAATTTTGATGGTCGTCTGGTCTATAAAGCTTCAACCAACGGTTGTTCAATGGTTGGATGGGTCTTGCATTAGCCTCTGTCTCCTGTTACACGTACCATCAGCAAAAATAATTATATATATATATATATATATATATATATATATATATATATATATATATATATAAAAGAATCAATAGAACTGAAATACGTTAAACACTTACGTCATGAACAGCTTCGTGGATTGCATGCATTTGTGCTCGTGAAAATGTTCTTACCTGAATATACAACATTGCATGTTAGGGCATCACAATGCATTATATTTATTCAAGTTTAATGAATTGACAAATCTCCATTTTACTTACTATACAACTTTACATTAATTTTTTTTATAATGCATTGAACTCAATATATATTTAATATATTGTTAAAAGGTTTTTTTTTTTTTTTTTTTTTTTTAATTTTTTTTATTGAAGAGTTTAATAACTATTGAATGCCAACATAACATCCATAATGGTAGAGTTTAATCCATCAAAATGCTAATTAGACATGCCACTTCTTTCAACTCTCTCATTAGTACATTTTGGATGTTCTTACTTTAATTCATTATACGATAAATAATAGTTAAAGTTAATACACAACGATGGAAAATAAACAAAACTTAATTATTACCTTCTTAACAATGGTCCAAATAACATTTTGGTAGCATGGAGGAGTAGTAAGTGAACCAATATATCGATAATATTTTCTGCTACCAATCTTAATTTTTCGTGGGTCGATTATTCCAACACTTTTTTCAACATCTCTCGTAGAAGCTAATGCTTTAAAAAATGGTTCCATCTGACCATGTATTTCAAAAGCAAGATCTCAAGATTTTATAGAGAACAAAAAATTATAATTAAGTTAATATATAATATTGTCAAAGAAAAATATTTATTGACGTACCATTGATAAAAGAGGATCAGGACGACCGATTTTGTACATGATTCCAACTACTGCAATTTTTCCATTTGTACTTTCATGAACCATGTGTAGCTCTAAATTCAATCTGTAGGTGTCACGAAATTAGTGTTTTTGGTAGAAATCTTGTTATAATTACTAAAATGAGTTCTTATAATTTATAACATTTTTTACTAAAAAATGAGAGTAAATTATGGTACCTTCGGCCATTGATGGTGTGTTCTGTAGGGGTGTGCCAATGAAGCTGGTTAAGTTGATACTCAGTACCGTTTATATGAATATGTCCTGCTCCTCCAACAAATCTCAACTGTTGATCATATAAATAAACTACATATTACTAACAATACTATTATTTAACTAGCTCACTTATATAGAAAGAGTCTTAACACTTTTTGCCTTATAATTGTTTAATATTTTTAAAAATTGATTGTTTACTTACCATCATATCGTGGCCTCTATTAATAAGAGTTGAGTTTGCAGGCTTATAATCTCTATCAAGTCTTCCAAGATTTGAAGTTGTTTGAACCCTTTTATGTGTAAGATCAATGGGTGATTGCATGTCTCCTTGGTTACACAAGCTCCACTCCGGGTGGATTTCTCCCCAATGATCCGGCCCATTTGGACTGTTCACATCATAAGTGAACTCACTTTCATCATCTGCATATTAACATCGTATTTAGAGGGTACGAAATATTAACAAATAAACAACGAAAAGAAATATGTATAATGTTGAAAGTAATATATTCCAAGAACTTACCAACTTCTTGAGCGATAGCAAAAGGTGCATAGAAGACGATGATAAGAGCAATCAAGATTGAAGAAAACCGTAAATTTTTGTTATCCATTTCTTTATGCTTATGGGAAATCTTTTCGGATGTTTGTATAAGTTACTGATGGATATTTCCGAATGCATGTATATATATATATATATATATATATATATATATATATATATATATATATATATATATATATATATATATAGAGAGAGAGAGAGAGAGAGAGAGAGAGAGAGGTGAATAAGGTGCAAGAGGTTCAAAGGTGTGAATTCGGAGAAATGAGAGTTTTATATTGACCAAAGACCATGTTTAAATTCATATAAAAGACATGGAAATCTTTTATTTGTAATGAGTGTTAATTTAAGAAATTTCTTCATTGTTTGGGGCAGGTGAATTAAGTTTGAAGTTTCGGAACACGGTAAAAGTTTCCAGATGTGTATACAATAAAATATTAACTAAACTCAAAAGACAAACACAAACAGTATGCATTAAGGATTGATGGCTAGTGTAATGTTACATTATTGAAATTAAATATTTTAAACGTCTATGATTAGAAAATTCAAATTCAATTTTTCTTTTAATTAGTCCGTTCTTTCAATTGAGTGCTTCTATTTTGACATGTAGTGGATTTGAAACCAATACAGACTGCGATAAAAATAAGCAATTTTTTTTTTTTTTTAAAATTAATGAATATGAGATAAACTCATTTCTTAGAAATTTGTTTAATAAAAAAATTATGATTACATAAAATAAAGTCAAAGGAAGTTTAACAACATTGACTTTCCATTTTAATGTATGGCAAAATAATTCAAACATCACTTTATATATATATATATATATATATATATATATATATATATATATATATATATATATATATATATATATATAATATATATATATATATATATATATATATATATATATATATATGTTCAGGTTCATTTGAGACCATTCTAATTTTATGAGACCGTGAGATCAAATCTAAAAATAATTTTAAAATGCAAAATAAATCGAAAAATCGAAAAATTCTTTTTTTAAATATTATTTTCGGAACTTGAATTAACTAAAAAAAATATATAAAAAAAAATTCCGTTTTTTTTTAAAAATACGTGAAATATTGTAAATAGAATATTACACTGACATATTCTAAAAAATAATTTTAAAATGCAAAATAAATGGAAAAATCTAAAAATTCTTTTTTTAAATATTATTTTCGGAACTTGAATTAACTAAAAAAAAAAAAAAAAATTCTGTTTTTTTTGAAAAATACGTGAAATATTCTAAATAGAATATCACACTGTACATATTCTAAAAATAATTTTAAAATGCAAAATAAATGGAAAAATCAAAAAATTCTTTTTTTAAATATTATTTTCGGAAAATGAATTAACTAAAAAAAATAAAAATAAAATAAAAAAAAATAAAAAAATACGTCTCACGGTCTCACAAAATATAGGTGGTCTCAAATGAACCTAACCCTATATATATATATACACACACACACACACACACACACACACACACATACATACTAGTCGTTTACCTGCACAAAGCGTTTGACGACGATTAGTTTCTTTTTGCAGAATAGTTTCAGAGCAACAATCGATACAACAACTCGACTTTTTGACCTTATGGAATGTAGGTGTGGACTTTTTTGTTTCTGTTCTAGCATCAGACTTTTTTGTTTCTATTCCAACATCACACCTAATTTTGGAGAGCCAATGGGTGTAGATGTCAAACATTTTTCCGTTTTTGGCGGTTGGTGGATGGGGAAGGAGGCTTTGAACCAGAACCCTATTGGAATAACACTGTAAGGATGTAGAAGTGCCACCAAACGCGAGATTTCAGACTGGTATGTCGGGGAAGGATACGATCAGAGATGGATATATTTAACGTCAGGGAACGAGGCAGTTGGCGACGGTTCGACTAACGTGGTCAATGACAGTGAGACTAATGGGGGGGGGGGGGGCGGATAGTAGAGGCCAATGAGTTAGGTTATTAACATGAGAGAGAGAGAGTGAGAGAGAGATATATATACGAGTTGTGAAAGTGAGGTTGGGATGGATGGGGTGAAGTCAGAGAGAGAGAGAGAGAGAGAGAGAGAGAGAGAGAGAGATGAGTTGTGAAAGTGAGGTTGGGATGGGTTGGGGTGAAGTCTGGTATTAATTTGTTTTTTGTTTTATAAACAATAAATAAATAATAAAAATTATAATTAAGAAATATATTAATGTAAAATCGTCTTTTTATACTGGTTGGGGATTGAATTTGCAACAAAACCAAATTTTGAGGCACATCCGATTGAAAAAATAATGTTTGAAACCAAACGTATAGATTATCCCAAATCATAGATACGATCCATTTGTATAATTTACTACAGTTTTTAATATTGTATTATTCAACTAAATCCAAAAATTTGGAAATCTCATGAATATTTTGAGTTTATTTTCATTTTATTACCTAAATACCCTTATCCTTTTAAAAAAACACAACCATCCCATGGCTATTTACATTCGTTTCTAGTACACAAATAAGTTAAATTGTCATAGGTAAGTGAGAGAGAAATGCATTTTTATATAAATACATGAAAATCACGTGGATCGTAATTTAAAGCTATAACACATGCTAATGGTTTTACCAGGTAAAAACCAAGTGATTATGTCATGTTGAACAGACATCCTGTAAGCATAAAAGTGTGATATTTAAACGTGCAAAAACCGCCTGTATCAGTGTAACTCCCCGTTTAGTAAATAAATAAATAGATAAAAATAATATGAATTGTGGCCCTAAAATCCATAATGTTTAGTGGGGTGTTGGTTTTGGGGAGCCAAGTGATATAATTTAGATTATTCTGGGGTTTAAAGTGTAAATTCAAGACTTATTTTGTAAAAAAATTTAGAAGACATGGGGTGTTTGGTACCATATGGACTTAATACGAAAGGATTTATGGAAGCGGGGGCTAAAGAGTAAATTCTAGACCTAAGTTGAAAATGTTTTGTAGAGGAGGGGCCATTTGGTAACATAGGGACTTCAATCGAATATAATTTGAAGAGGGAGGGGTTGTTAGGTAAATTGCGGACTGGATTTGAAAGGAATTTCTGAAGCTAGGGTAGAAAGGATAAATTAAGGACTTAGTTTGAAAGAAGAAGGAGAAGGAGGGACTGGAAGTGTCATTATGGCAATGTTTTGATATGGGACGGGGTATATAACCGTTACCCTCTTAATCCAAACCCTAACCCTAAGGGATACCCAGCCGCCACCCACCTTATATCCCCTCTGGTCACCGCCACCACCATAAGAACCCTCCTCAGCCGCTGTTTGCATCATCGAGTCCGACAACCACCGTTTCTACTGCTACATCGCCGACGTTGAAGCTGAGAACCACCGCTGCATTCATTCCATTGAAGACTGACGACGAGGTTCGTGACGTCCGTTGCCACCCTACCACCGTCATCATCTTCTTCTACCTTCTGTTGCTGCTGCTGCTGCTATCGTTCACTTCATCCCTTCTTCTCTATCAGTCTGCTATTGCTCCGCCACCCAGAAAATCAAGAGGAGCTGTCGCCACCACCGCTGTCATCACAAATCACCGCCGCTGCCACCTCTCCGTTATTCCGTCGTATCCAAACGCCATCAAGAGGGTGGATGTGTTCCTGTTCCATGCAAAGCAAGTGTTTGGGTATGTTTTCTGCTGTAGTGCGTGTTGTGTGTGTGGTTTGTTTGGCCGAAAAATCGAGAACAGCCACCGCCACCATTGTGAGGTGGTGGCAGCCACGATGTACCACCACCGGCCACCTCAAGGATGGTTGTGTGTGTTTATATTAGTGTGTGTGTGTGTTATTAAGATTTGTGTTGTAAATTTGTAATCAATGCTAGTATAATCAAAAGAAAACTCTTAACCACCACAGTGAGGTGTGGCTGCTGCCTCCTGCTGCCACCAACCGCTGTGTTGGGTGGCGGTGTGCTTTGTGTGTGTTAGATTTCGTTTGGGATGTTTGGACAAAAATGGACTAGAACCATAACCACCACCGTGAGGTGGTGGCCGCCGTCGTGAGTCGACGTTGACCACCACTACCCGAGGTGGTAGTGAGTGGTGCCCGACTTATGAAACCCTAGCGGTCCTAATGAAACCTTAGTGGGCCTAACGAAACCCTAATTGATCTATAAAGACTTAACTTTTGGGCCTATTGGGTTGTGTTTGGGTTGGAAACCCTAATTAGGGTTTAGAAAGCCCTAATTTTGGACTCATTGGTTTGGACTTATCGGGACCCGTGTTTTGGGTCATTGGAATTGAATTGTGAATTACAACCGACCACACCGTATGATTTATTTAGTAGAGTAATGGACTTATTGGATTAAGTCCTTAATGGGTTAAGTAGAAACACTTAACCCTAATCGTTATTTTATGTGAAAACCTTAATTTCACTTGGGCTGTGAGTTGGGCCTTTCTATTGGGATTTGGTGATTGGGATATTGATGAGCCATCCAAGAACAATCATATGGACTAGAATATTTGGATGGGCTTTAGGGGTAAGGCCCATGTGAAGGGTTTGGGCCCAATTTTGAAAATTATGCCATAGATGGGCCATAACTTGGCCTTGATGATTATGAGATATTGGGCCATTATAATGACACATGTTTGGACTAAAATAAATGGTTGGGCCTTAGGGAGAGACCATGTAAAGGTTTGTGCCCAATTTGGAAAATTTGGCCATATGTTGGGCTTTGATTCATAGTTGGACTTTTGGGCTTGTGGATTGGGCCTTGAGTTTGAATCAAGCTACGATGGGGGTAAAGTAGTCTTTTACCCCAAGCATGGACTTATGGATATATATTGGAACCTAATTACTGATTGGGTGTTATTTTGATGATTGAAAGTTCGAGAACCTATCATCCATCAGCTAGAGTTTTGTCTATGGGACTTCAGCAGTCCGAGTTGAGTTACATTCCAGTAGAGGTGGGTCTAAGGCACTAATGCCGGCCCACCAGTAGGTGATTATGTATGAGATGATTTTATTTGTGATAATTGTCTGGTTTGCCACTATTTGATATGATTTATGTGCTAGGATGCTTTGTTATATGTGTTAGTAGTAGTAGGGTGAAATAGTCCACGTATACCGG